ACTTACGAGGACATTCTACTGCCACTGTTCTATCAAAAATTTAAAATGAATATCCTCATACAGTATGTGGATCTCATTTTTCTCAGAAAAAAAAATCAGGTAAAAAAAAAAAAAAAGAAGAAAATCTGGCAATTCTTTGTTTTTACATTCATGAGGTGCCAATATGCCCAAATATCAAAGAGAAATTAAAAATGCATGCCATGGAAGAGTTCAGGTCTCAGGAGGCTAAAAAAAAGTAAATGCGGATTTAATATTTTTGCAAGAAACGCATCTTAAAAGTACAAGACCACAACAGATTACGTTGCAAATGGATAGAACAAATATTTCACTCGTTTAATGCAGGAAGCAGAGTCACAGCTATACTAATCCAAAAAACAGAACCATTTACTGCAGCAAAAATATTACCAGACGCTCAAGGTAGATATATTATTGTAACTGGCAAAGTTTATGGTCATTTAGTTACATTAGTAAACATTTACGCTCCAAATATTGGAGCGTAAATAGAAGTCTGGGCTCGGGAGAACCTGAGTGCCCTGGAGGGACTTTCCCTGCCGGATACACGATGGACGGGTGGCAGAGGATCGTGTGCCTGGCAGGACTGTCGATCGAGGACGCTGAAGATATCTACCTATTCGGAACCATGATAACAGGGTTCTTGCTGATCGGAGCTGGCTTGGCCCTGGCTTATCGGAGAATTAAGAGAGCGGAACCGGCTGTTCAAACCCCCACAAGGCTTGGAACGACAGGTGCGACTTCTCAGAAAGGGCTCACTGAAGGCAGCATGGTTAAGAGCTTGGAGGCGCTTACGACTGCAGTGAATGCTCAGAATAACACCTTTGAGCGTATGTATGTTGGATTACATCAGGAAAGAATCAACTCAGAACAACATCTCTGGGCGGAGCTGGATTACACCTCGGATCAGTTGGCTGCGGTCGTGAGGTCTCAGAATCTGCTATGTGAGCAAAAAGAGTGACAAGACCACAGAATCGACGGCTAATAACATCACGGAGAAGCTCGCAGCTATTAACGGGAGACTGAGAGACCAGTGTCGGAGTGTTAAAAACAGCTTGAAATTCTCAATTACCATCATAATGCGGCTACCCCTTCGGCGCCAGCTGTGGGATCAAGGCCAAGGCTCAAGGCTGGAGCCGAACAAAAACTCCTTGATAACGACTGTGTTGAGTCTGTTCCTTCCCATTCCCTACAAGGCCACCTGGGTTGGCTGGAAGACTGTTTACTTAGCCTGGCAGGGCGAAGGACACTGTCTCAGCTGAACTATGGACACGCACACACATACATATACTGATACTGATAAGCACTCACTGACGCATCACCCTCCCTATGTATCCCTATTGTGATTAATAAAGCCTTTTTTAATAAATTAGTCTCCTTAATATCCTATTTCATATGGAACAGAAAGAACCCAAGAATCAAGAAGAGTAGAGACCGACATGTCAGGGAGGGATGGGGTTGCCATGCATCCGTCTTTATTATTGGTAAGGTAATGTTCGCTCCATGTCGTTTTGGTTGAGCACTCGGGGGGCCGAGTGCTCAACTTGCACAGTAATGACTTCTTCAAATACTTACAGATCAGAAGCTCTGTAAGGAGTAATTTTCTATCCTTTCCAGATCAACCCCCAGACTCTATCTTAGATAACTTATTCCAGTTCGATCCACTCAAAAAAGGACTAATAACAAAAATTCACAATGCATGGTCACAACTGGATGGAACTACCACGCTTGATCATCTGAAAGAGGCCTGGCAGAATGACCTTGGTATGAGAATCACAGATAGTCAATGGACAAAAGCCCAAGAAAATGTAAACTCTTCCTCTGTTTGTATTCATCATGGACTCTTACAGTTTAAAGTGCTACATAGACTCCATTTATCAAAGTTGAAAGTGTCAAAAATGTTCCCCAATGTAAACTTGTCCTGCGAAAGATGTAAACAGCAACCTGCTTCACTGGCGCATATGTTTTGGAATTGTCCCTGTAAAGCAACATATTGGAATAATGTCTTTCAAACCTTGTCTAAGATTCTAAAACAAACACTGAAGCCAGACCCAATCTGTGCTTTATTTGGAGTGAAGCCAGTTGTTGTAGATTTGTCAGCCACCCAAAATAATGTAATACGTTTTGTGACACTGCTAGCACACAGTTTAATTTTACTAAACTGGAAGCAAAAAGTGCCTCCTACCAAATCAGCGTTAATACAAGATATAATGAAACATTTGCAGCTGGAAAGAATTAAACTCCTACTAAGGGGGAATTTGGAATAATTCTATTCAACCTGGCAGCCTTTTATAGATCAATACAGCACAGATATAAACAATCACTGAGCCTCATTGGTAGTCCGATAAATAACATCCTCTGTCCAACTTTCTTTTGTTGTTTGTTGTATTTTATTCTGTTCAACTTTTACCGTATATATGTAATCAGTTATATTTGAATCTTTGTCATCTTTATGGAAAAGGAAAACTGGGAAACCAAATAAAGAGATTTGAAAAAAAAATGCAAAAAAAGGTGAAAATTGAAAAATTGAAAATCGTTTTTGTTTTGTTTTTTAACATATATTTCTAGTTAGAGAAATTTAAGAGGTTTATCCCTCAAAACTCATCCCTGAGTTCCTGCCCCAAGTGGAGGAGTTCAAGTATCTCGGGGTCTTGTTCGCGAGTGATGGGAGAAGGGAGCCAGAGATCGACAGACGGATTGGGGCTGCAGCTGCAGTAATGCAGACGCTGCACCGGTCCGTGGTGGTGAAGAGGGAGCTGAGTGTAAAAGCGAAGCTCTCAATTTACCGGTCGATCTACGTCCCTACCCTCAGCTATGGCCACGAGCTGTGGGTAGTGACCGAAAGAACGAGATCGCGGATACAAGCGGCAGAAATGAGCTTCCTCCGAAGGGTGGCTGGCCTCTCCCTTAGAGATAGGGTGAGAAGTTCGGCCATCCGGGAGGGGCTCAGGTAGAGCAGCTGCTGCTCCACATCGAAAGGAGCCAGCTGAGGTGGTTCGGGCATCTGACAAGGATGCCCCCTCGGCGCCTCCTGGGTGAGGTGTTCCAGGCATGTCCCACCGGGAGGAGGTCCCGGGGCAGACCCAGGACACGCTGGAGAGATTATATCTCTCGGCTGGCCTGGGAACGCCTTGGTATTCCCCCGGATAAGCTGGAGGAGGTGGCTGGGGAGAGGGAGGTCTGGGCCTCTTTGCTTAGGCTGCTGCCCCCGCGACTCGGCCCCGGACAAAGCGGATGAAGATGGATGGATGGATGGATCCCTCAAAACTTTAAATACAAAAAAGTTGCACAAAATAGTTTCCAACAACAGGAAATTTATTTTGAGTGTCTTCATAGTTTTATTTTTGAGACACACCAATTTTTATATACTGCAGGAAAAACAAAAATAAATATTAGAATGCAAATTTGCAAAAAAACAGCATGTGAATCAAAATAAACTATTTTCAGCAGTGCAATTTAAGTTCTAAGCATCCCAGAAACTATACAGAAAAGCATAAAGTCAAACATGACTTTTAAAAACACCAATGACAAAATGACGTCACTTCCGGTTTCGGCCAGGTAATGGCGGACATGCGATAGTTCGCGCTGACGTCTATTCCAAGGTAGGAAGTGTTATGAACAGCTGATCAGATCGTCAAAGCGTGTTTCTGGAATATTATGTTTTTGTTGCTGCAAGTGCTTTTTATGCAGTTTTTGCAAAGCTATATGTGGAAGGAAACCGTGACCTAGGACAAGCTGATGGCATAAGATGTAAGTACAACTCCTCCAGTTTCATATGCAAAAAAAAATTATTGCACTAGCTTACGTGGTTGCAGTTCTACAGGGATTTAAAAATAGTTACGCAAAACAGAGCGTGCCCGTTTTGACCAGTTTTAAAGGGTTTAGAAAAAATAAAGTAACATAGAGAAACAGTATGTGTGCAGAAAAATAAATAAATAAATAAAATACTCTGGAGGAGTCACACAAAGCCTGCTTGGTTGGGGGATATAAATTTGATCCATTTATCCCAAATTTGGTAAAACTTGTCTTTCTGGATTCTAAGAGAGTACATCAATTTTTCCATTCTAAAATTTCAAGAATAGTTTCATACCAATCATCTAATGTTGGTGGGACTCGGTTCATCCACCTTCTTGTAATAGATTTTTTGCTAGCAGCTAGAAGAGCCTGCAGCAGCTTTATATCCATCCTCCGTTCTAGAATTATAACATGACCCACGTATAAATTTACAAAGTCAAACGGAAACTGTACCTCAGTGTTTTATGAATCCCACTCCAGTACAGGTACCGCCTGGGACAGTCCCAAAACACGTAATAATGGTTTGCCTCCACTGAACCACACTGCCTCCAACACTCTGAATTCGTATTGCTAAATTTACCCTGGACTAGAATCTTAAAGTATCTTATGATATTTTTCCAGCAATGTTCTCTCCATTCTAATGAATTAGTGGAGGACCACTGTGAGCAACATATTTCTTCCCAATCTTTTTCCAAAATGCTAATTCCAGCTTCACTCTCCCACTTTTCCTTTATATATAGAATACTGTCTTTCTTGCATAGAGTAGTGCATTGTATAACCTTGAAATAGATGTATTTATAGTTGAACTATGGGCAAGTTTCAGGATTTTGAGAAAGTTAGTTTCATTCTACGTTAAATTTATAATTTTCCATTGTTTATTGAAGGAATCTCGCATTTGAAGGAACCAAAGGTTACTTTTTCACGTTTACTTAAGGAAAGAAGACGACTCAGTAAAAGAAAGAAACCAAAGAAACCAGACTATACTCCAAACACATTACACCACACAGTAATGTGTTCGGAGTCCAAACACGCTAAAGGTTATGTATTCTTAAAATCTAAAAACTTGGTATGGATATCGCTAGCTGTCTTAACCACCATCACTCACTCCCACAGCTTTTCCCTCTCCTCAGCAACCAAATACTACTGTATATTAGTACAGTCACGTCTTCCTCTTTTATCCTGAATTCACCTACCTCATCCTGCGGAGGCTGCTCCTTGGGAGTTCCCCATTGTCCCCAAAGTCAACGTAATAAAGGTCCACCAGTCCAGAGCCTAGGACTCCCAGCACCCTTGCCCTGTTCCATGTGCCATGGTCTCTGTATGGAGCAGCCACAATGTCCCCTACAACAATGGTTTCTACTCGCTGATCCTACAGATCAGAAAAGCAGATGAGTTCAAACACAAATCAGACACTGGGTTGCAGAAGGTGCTGCAGGGATAGAGGTGCCCCTATGGGCTGTGTGAGCTTATTGTTAACATACTTTTTATTCACACGCAGGATCTCAGATATTTTTCTACATCTACTCGATGAATAGTTGCAGGCCTGCTTCTTATCATCAGAGCCTGGCTTTTAGCGTTCTCTAAATCACATTTTAAATGCCATTACTACAAGTTACCCAGCTTTCTGAACTGTTGTAAGATCTGCAGCACATAATCAAGACTCTTAAAAAAAGTCAGTTCTACCAGGGTAAAGAAAAAAAACACTGGCAACCGTCAGTATTACCTGTCAGCCTCCTGGTAGGCACACCGACAGCATCAATTTCAAAATCCTATATCACTGCATTCCCGAGTTATCGCTGAGAAATCACTGATGGTAACAGATTCTAACCCATCCAAGACTTTTGTAGATTCACCTATAGTATCAATTTAAAAAAGGGAAAATACTTGGATCTTTGCAGTTTCAAGTGTGTGGAAGTATATCGGAACTCTCAACTCTCATTCTGGCCCACAAGGGACTCTTGTGGAACAAGAGAGACACAAGGAGAGCAAGATATGTCCTTACTGTAGAGTTTCCATTGTTGTAGAAGTGGTTCATCTCCTCTGTTAGTTTGTCCAGCTGAATGGATCGAACCCCCAGGATCTGAATCCAGAAGTGGTTTGGGTTCTCTGATGCAGAAACATACACCTCAAGGTGTTCGTCAGGCTGGAAGCTCAAGTCTGGGCTTGCAACTGGAAAACACAGAGAAAATATGAAATTACTACACTTAAAGACACATTACATGGCTGCTCTGGGGTGACTGAAATCTGAACTCACTTTCAAACTTGGACACTTCAGAGAAGGTCTTAGTAGTTGTACTGCCCTCCTTCTTGCTGGCTGTTTTGATTTTTGACTCTCCCACCTGGTCAAAAAATGTTTCTGGTTCTCCTGTGGTCCCGTTGGCAAAGACAAGCGCATTCTCCTCTATGTGGGAGAAGGGACTGTTGTTGTTCAAGAACAATAGAGGTTCAGTCTCTGTGTCGTTTGACTTCTGACTCACGACATTATGGCCACGTTTCTGGCGCCGGGCTGATGACTGTGAGATTGTTGTCCTCACCATCATGTCCTCGGTGACTTTTTCTAGAATCATATCCTTTGAACAGGTTTCAAAAGCAGGAGTTAGATGTCCCCTCAACTAAAATTAAAGGATGTGGTACACACAGGAGATCCAAATTAAGGCACTGTGCGTTACCTGTGCCTTTTTCACCTCCTGCCTGGTCCCTGTAATCGTCACCATGCCCTTTGCCCGTACACCGTGTGCTGGCTCTTTGGAACACGCCACTTTGGCTCCTGTAGTTCGGGTGATCTGTTTCAAACTCTCTCCACCACGGCCTGCAATACACAGATAATCATGTTCTCCTAACAATTATTGCAAATAGGGGTGAGATAAAATGGGGACTTTTTTCTTAAACTGACATAAGGCTGAGTGAATACTTATCACAGGGTTCGAATGTTAGCCATTAAAACCTCATACATAAAGATAACTCAGATAAAGAGAAATATGATTAATGGTAAATTCACTTTTATTTATATAGCGCCAAATCACAACAACAGTAACCTCAAGGCACTTTATATTGTAAGGTAGACCCTACAATAATACATACAGAGAAATTCACTTTTCACACAAATTTAGTATAAGACTTTCTGGTTATGTTTACAAAGCTCACAGTGCAAAGAAGCCAAGGGACCATTTTCCGAATAAACTCTACACAAACAGTTTTTTTTTTTGTTGTTTTGTTTTTTTGCAATCCAAGAACTACAGGGAGTGCAGAATTATTAGGCAAATGAGTATTTTGTCCACATCATCCTCTTCATGCATGTTGTCTTACTCCAAGCTGTATAGGCTCGAAAGCCTA